CCCCTCAGTCTGTGCCCTGACGATGAGTGAATGAGGAAGGGTTCGGGCTGGAAAAACTGACTACACGGTTTGCGACCTACGCTGGTTGCCTCGTTAAAAACCTTAAGCTAATAAAAAACCAGTGGGAAAAAGTTTTAGCCAAGGGAAAAAGAGCACAATGCTAAACGCAGTCTGGTGGACTAAAGAAAGGGATTGCCCGACCTAGGGGTCGGTTTTGCAACATGATTCGAGAGGTCGAATCTTTCCCGATCTAGTGATCGGGAAACTAGCCATGATCGAATTGCTAGGGATGACCGAGTGGACGGATTAATTGCGATCGGGAGATCTAACTTTACCAATCATGGTATTGGATTTAGGTATGACCGGAAAGTCGGATTACGTGCGATCGAGGCAATTTCTCCCTTTTTGCACTCGGTTTACGAACCGAGAGTCCCAAGCGGGGGACACTAGGAGACCCGATGGTCTAACGATAGCAAGACCGGGTAGGTCGCTTTGATCGGGAAGCGCAAGGCGCTAGGAGACCCGAAGGTCTAACGATAACTAGTGTGAATACATATTTATAAACTTTCAACGATTTTGATTCTTATCATTTATAATTTTTTTGCAAAACATGTTATAATATATCATTAAATTTTTGTTATTTTATAGTTTCACCCACACCAACATTTTCAACGTTATTATTTTTATCCATCGTAACAAAATTTTTTAAATAAAACATATAAAAATGTAATTAATAGTTTTTTAAAATAAAAAAATTAAAAATATAATATTCATAATATATTAAAAGTTATACCTAATATATTGTTAGGCATCAAGCAAAATAGTTATTATTTGCAATAGGAATTTGGGATTGCGAACAACAGTTCGCTATTCGCAGTAGCTTGTTGTTATAAAAAAAAAGGAAAAAAATTATATTACGAATATAAACATAAAATGAATAAAACTCACAATATACAAGTATTTATATGAATATTATGAAACATATACTAAAATTTGATGGTGATGGATGAAAAATTTGCTTTGTTAATGTATTTGAGGAGAAAAAGTTCATAGATAAAGTTTAGAAGTTAGAGAGAAAAGTTTGGAAGATAAGGATAAAAAGTTTGTAGAAAAAATAAAAATAAAAATATACGAGCAATAATGAAGAAAAAATAATCTGTAGAATTTATAAAAAAAGATGGTAAAGTTTAGGAGGGAAACCAAAGTGGTAGAGTTTAGCTATGAAGAAAATATAGGATAATGAAGAAAAATAATTTATCGAATTTAGGTATAAGATTTATAGAGTTTAAATAGGGAGAAAAAAAATAGAGTTTAGATAGAGAGATAAAATATTCAGAATTGGTAGAAAGAAAAATTTGAAATCTTGGGGTTACGTGGCGGATTTCAACTATTTATATTTGAGAAGGAAAAATATACAAAAGTCCTAAAATAAAAAAAAATAAAAATAAAAAAGTTTACAAAAGTTCATAACTTTTTTAATACCCCATGACTTTTAAACCATATTATACTTTTTTATCTTTATACTTTTTATTCCATTTAAATTCTCATATACACCAAACAGTATAATTGAAATTTACAGTAATTTTATTCATGCATACTAAACAATGAAACTTGAATTCATACTTTTTTTTTGAACGGAAGAAAGAAATGCATTAATAAACAACCAAATGAGAAATACACGGCGGTGGTATAGAATACCACGATCCCAAGGCAGACGAAGAACCAGCCGCTCGTGCTAACACGTGAGCTACACGTGAAATATGGTTCGCTGACGTTTTGACATGGTGAACGGAGACGTTCCCAATGTCATTAGCAATACCACGACATTGCTTTATAATCAAACCAACATAAGAAAGGTTCAACGAAAAGGAATTAAAACTAGTACAGAAATTAAGACAGTGTGACTCTAATAACAAATCAGTAAAATCATGCGCCTTTAACCATGTTAATGCCTCCTTAGCTGCCATAGATTCCGCCATAAGTGGGTCACGATCACAATCCAACCGAGAGTTAAAGGCTGCTACGAACCTACCATCATGGTCCCGAACAACTGCACCTACACCAACACCATCCACGAATATTGCTGCATCGATATTACATTTAAATTTGTTGCATGGAGGAGGGAGCCAAGTGGTGTTTACCATACTGGAAGCAGCTTCTGAGCTAAAGGATGAATAAGTATTAAACCATACATGACTTGCAGCTTCAGCTTGCCTTCTCAATGAATCAGCAGATGGCGTGACATTATTCCAAACCAATTCATTCCTAGCATTCCAAAGAAACCACATGCATGCAATCAACTTCACAGTAGTCTTTGTAATATGATTCTGAAGAGTACAATTTAATAAGTCTAAGAACGTACCATTACCCAACACAACAGTGTTCTCCACAACCTGCTTCGCCAAAGGGCAAGAACATATGATATGCTCTACTATCTCCATATCCGCTGTGCAGAATGGACAACCACCCCCACCCAAACATGGCGTTTCCTTAGATTTTCACGAACGGGGAACACATTATGTACGCACCGCCATAAGAAATTTCGCACTTTAGGGGGAACCGGGAGAAGCCAAAGTTTTCTCCATTCAGTAAACTGTAGTTGGGGATCCAAGTGTGTGGAGGAAGTTGTGAGCAACCGATAGCCTTGTCGTACAGAGTATATGCCCCGTATGTCACCTCTCCAGCGCCACTCATCATCAAATTCTTGAGAGGTTGGAGTCGCCATTATACGTGGGATATCAGTATCCAGGAACAAATCTTTAATAACATCGATATCCCAATTGTCGGTTTCATCAAGTAAGCCACTAACCGTCGCATTTTTCAATTCTTCCACAACTGGGGTATGCAGGTTAGGATTCAGTCTATCCACAAGCCAAGGCCAACCCCATATTTTGGTATCCCTGCCCTTGCCAATTCTTCTAACAACTCCTTCTTTCAGAACCGATTTGCCCGCTAAGATACTACGCTAGATGTAGCTCGGGTTATTACCAAGATCTGCTTCCATAAAAAAAGATGACGGGAAATACCGGGCTTTCAGAATCTTAGCTGCTAAAGAATTTGGGAATATAAGTAGGCGCCATCCTTGTTTGGCCAACAATGCAATGTTAAAGCTGTGCAAACGTTTAAAACCAAGACCACCGTAACTTTTAGGGAGGCAAAGACGTTCCCAGCTTAACCATGATAAGCCACGGTTCTCACCTTTACCATTATCCCACCAATATCGGTTCATTAAAAGCTCCAAGTTCTCACAAATGCTCTTCGGTAGGAGGTAGGTGGACATGGTAAAAATTGGAAGAGCTTGAGCAACAAATTTTAAGATGATTTTTTTACCGGCTCTTGATATAAATCTGTTGTGCCATGAATTCATACGCTCTCTTATTTGCTGCTCGATGAAGCGGAAGGTGTTTGATTTATTACGGCCCAAACAAGATGGGAGGCCAAGATATTTTCCCAAGTCATCAGCCAAATTAACTTGCAACAGATTAGCCAACTGGTCCTTCAATTGAACTGGAGTATTAGTACTGAACACAATAGTGGACTTGTTATAATTAATAGCTTGGCCAGATGCCGCACAATATAGATCAAGAGCATCTTTAACTGATTGAACCTCCCTTTGGTTGGCCTTAAGAAATAGGAGACTATCATCGGCAAAAAATAGATGTGTAATAGACGGTGCCCCCCTAGCCACTCTAATACCATGTATGTCGCCTCTTGCCTCTGCATGATTTAACAAGACCGATAATGCCTCTGCACAAATGATAAAAAGGTAAGGAGACAACGGGTCACCTTGACGGATACCCCGCGAAGGAACAATTGTACCCACTGTATCTCCATTGACAGTAATATTGTACCGAATTGTTGTCACGCACATCATCACGAGCTTCACCCAATTCGTGGCAAAACCAAGAGACTTTAACATACCTTCCAGAAATACCCATTCCATTCTATCATACGCCTTAGCCATATCAAGCTTGAGCGCAATCCAGCCTGTATTCCCATATCTGGTTCTCTTCAAATAATGACCAACCTCCCCAGCCACTATGATGTTATCGGAAAGCAACCTATCTTTGACAAAAGCACTTTGCGCCGGGGAGATGATATCATTTAGGACCTCCTTCATTCGATTTGCAATCACTTTTGCCAAAACTTTGTACAGTACATTGCATAGGGCTATCGGCCGAAGGTCTGCAACGGTCTCCGGGACTTTCTTTTTTTGGAATAAGTACAATATTAGTATCATTTAGGCACTGTGGGATTGAGTAGTTTTTCAAGCAGCTCAGTATAAAATTAGATAAATCATGCCCGACCACTGACCAGAAGCGTTGATAAAAAGCAGGAGTCATTCCATCCGGGCCTGGGGCCTTATCTGGTGCCATACTAAAAAGTGCCCGTTTAACATCTTCATGAGAGAAAGGCCTTAACAACTGGTTATTCATATTTTCATCAATACGGCTTTGAACATGTTGAAACAATGTAGTAGTAGGGGCTGTAGATATTAGAGGACAAGCCTACTACTGGTCAAGGATAGTCAACAGCCGTTAGGAAGTTAGAGGCAGTTATTTTCTGTTAAGATGGTTTACTGCCTAAACTGCCTTTCTTCTTCTTTCTCATATAAATGGTGTATGACTTAGAAGGTGAAGTTGTGATAACAAAAATCAATGAAACAGTATCTTTCTTTTCTTCCTCTGATCCATCTTACAATTCATGATATGGTATCAGAGCTCTGAAGATCATGGCATGGACGGGAGGAACAAACACAAACAGACCTCAAGCATCCCAGACCACTGCGCCACCAACACCAGTTCCGGTGGTGGCTCTGACGACTCCATTCGACCCGAATGATGTAGCAAGTCCTTTCTTCTTGCACCCTAACGAGAATCCATCGCTGATTCTCGTCTCCGGCACTCCTGGATGGGCGGAATTATCATCCCTGGGACAGGGGAATGGAGATGGCCCTGCTCTCAAAGAATAAGCTAGGGTTTGTAGACGGAACCATAACTATGCCAGAGATCAATGAAGTTAAGTTTCCTTACCAGAAAAGGTGCAATAATATGGTCTGCACCTGGATAATGCGTTCGCTTTCATCCGAGATTGCTCAGACTGTTCTCTGGGCGGGAACTGCAGAAAGAGTGTGGAAGACATTGAAATCGCGATTTGGTGAGGCAGACATATTTCGCGTTTCGGACTTGCATTCTGAGATTCATCAAATTCGACAAGGGGATCTCAACATAGGAACATACTTTGCTAAGTTGAAAGTCTTGTGGGATGAACTGTAGGTAATAAGGCCTTTGCCTACCTGCAATTGTGTTAGAAGATGCGATTGTGGTTTGTTAGATAAATTGCAGGCTTATCTTGACAGTGATAACCTATCTGTCTTCTTGAGAGGACTCAATGACAATTATGTATCAGTCCAATCGCAAATTATGATGATGAAGCCCTTGCCTTCTGTTGATGAAGCCTTTTTGATAGTCCAACAACAAGAAAGAAGGTTCAACAATGGAATGTTGAGCTCTCTCCCTCAAGTGGCAGATAATTTGAATGCAGGGAGTGTGTTCTTGAGTCAAACTTCAGGGAACAATTCTGGTTCCAAGAAGTTCTATCCTAATGGAAACAAGAAGCCCATTTGCACCCACTGTGGATTCACTGGGCATACAGCTGAGAAGTGTTACAAAAAACACGGGCCCCGGGTGGAGGCCAAGAAACAGAAATATAGGGGCTGCAAATCAGGTTCAAGTAATAAATCAGAATCCACCAGAAGAACCTGTCTCACTATCCCAGAGTGAATATATGATGTTTAAGCAGTTGTTGCAGAGGGAAACTGCCATCCAGAACTCTCCTTTGGACATAGGAGTCACACCACAAGCCAACATGATATCTGCAAACTTCATTCCCAACGCCCAATATGAAGGTACTGCTCTTTCTTCATCTAACTGTAGCAGAATTCCCTGGATCTTGGATAGTGGTGCCACTCACCACATTGTTTGCAGTCATCATATGTTGACAAAGGTCAAAGAAACTCAGGGTATGTATGTTGAGCTCCCTAATGGGAACAGGACTGCTATCACACACATAGGAACTCTTGTGGTGTCAGAAGATATTGTGTTGCAGAATGTGTTGTGTGCCTGCCTTTCATTATAATCTGGTATCTGTTAGTGAGCTAATCAAAAACTCCAAGTGCAAACTACTCTTATATTCTGACACATGCATCATACAAGATCAAGTCCTTGGGAGGATGATTGGAATGGCTAGATTGGAAAAGGGTTTATATCACTTGATGCAGCCTGAGTTCTTTGTTTCCTGTGACAAAATGCAGAATGTAGAAGTTAATAGCTGTGTTGCTAGTAGTTTGTGGCATACTAGATTAGGACATACATCTTTGTCAAAATTGAAAATGTTACAGTTGTTGGATTCTGATTTGAAATCAAATAAAGAATTGGCTTGTGATGTATGTTATTTGGCTAAGCATAGAAGGTTGCCATTCCCAGTAAGCTCCACTGTCTCTGTTGCTTGTTTTGACATGATTCATGCTGACATTTGGGGGCCATATCGTGTACACACCATTTATGGCCACAAATATTTTTTGACCATTGTAGATGACCACAGTAGACTGACCTGGGTCTTCTTGATGAGAGCTAAACATGAGGTTAGAGATCTGATTCAAAGTTTCTGTGCTCTAATCCTCACACAGTTTGGGAAAAGGATCAAGTGCATCAGAACAGATAATGGGCAGGAGTTCAAGATGGATAAGTTCTACCAAGAGAAAGGGATTATTCATCAAACCTCATGTGTCTACACTCCACAAGAAAACAGTGTAGTAGAGAGAAAACATGGACATATTCTATGTGTTGCAAGGGCCTTAAGGTTTCAGGCAGGTCTATCAGAGTGTTTTTGGGGAGATTGCATCCTACAAGCAGTCTATATCATCAATAGGCTACCCTCTAATGCCTTGGAAGGGAACATACCACACCAGATTCTGTTTGGAAAGCCCCCCCAATTCAGTCACCTCAAGACCTTTGGATGCTTGGCTTATGCTGCCAACCTCAATGGCCACAAATCCAAATTTGCTCCAAGAGCAAGAAAGTGTTTATTTCTGGGATATCCTAATGGAACAAAAGGATACAAGCTGTATGATTTGCAGACTAGAGAGGTATTTGTCTCCAGAGATGTGGTGTTTCATGAGAGGATCTTCCCTTATGCCTTGCAGCACAAATCAGATACTCAGGTACCCCTAGGGATGTCAATTTAGCCCTGAACCAATGGGCTGGCCCATTAAGCCCTAAAAATTGCAGGGCTAAAATCCAAAAAGATCAATCCAATAAGAAAGTAAGCTCATTGGGTTGGCCCTATTGGGTTATTGGATTGAGTTGGGCCAACTCATGGATTGTTGAGCTGGCCCATGTAATATTCAATGATTATTGGATGGACCATAGTCTATACAACTTGTGTGGACCATGAATATAAGGTACATTTTTAATATATTAATTGTACATTATTTGTATATTGAAGGTACATTATTTGATAGTATATATGAAATAATGTACTTTTATACACTACACATATTATATGTACACTACACACAGACTGTACATACACACACACACACACTATATATATATATATATATATATATACTACACACACACACACACTATATATATATATATACACACACTGTACACTGTACACACAATATATATACACACACACACACACTATATATATATACACACACACTGTACACTGTACACACAATATATATACTACACACTGTACACACACACTGTGTGTAGTATATATATATATATATATATATATATATATATATATATATATAGAGTGCTGTTCATATGTGAACTTGGGATTAAATGTGAATGTGTGCACTTGCATCATCCGTCCATTCTTTTATGATCGACGCTCAAAGATGGGGGTGCATGGCCACTGTGTGCATTTGTCCCATTGGATCAACCCCTGTAGATTGGGTTGTTGTGTTTTACTTCTTCTTTTTTTATTTTTATTTCTATTTTTATTTTTATTTTTAAAGGGAATGGTTTTGTTCTTATTTGACTCTTCCTCTCAGACTTACTCCCGTATTTGTCGATCGAGCTCACCGAGGAACCCCACCGCAATCCATACCGTACAGGCGATCGATCACCGAACTCCCGCGAGGTCTAATGGTATCAGGGCCGTATTTTAACTTTTTGTGGCCCTGTTCTGATAAATAAATGTGGCCCTACTAAAATAATAATTTTTAAAATCAATATATGCAAGTTTGGAACCTTTGACCTCCAAGTGAAAATACACTAAATACACATTCTTACCATCTCTTCATAAAACCTTTTTAGATTTAATTGAAAACTTTTTATTTTTATTTCTAAACTAGTTAGGTAAAAATTAAATATTAGACCTCTAAAATTTGGGGCCCCTCTAAAATTGGGGGCCCTGTGCGGTAGCCCAGCTTGCACAGCCTAAAATCCGGCCCTGAATGGTATCAGTCGCCGGTCGAAGCGCGGGATGTCTGGCCGCCAGTTACCACCTCTCACCCCTCCGTCGGGGGGGGGGGGGGTCTCGTAAGGTTGCATGCGTGTCCCGATCGTTCAAACGGCGGTCGAGTCGCCGGCCTACTAGCTCCGGCGGGGTCGGGGTAGCATCCAGGGTGTTGACACAGAGGAGGCTGGGGCGGCTACTAGGTCAGAAAGGTGAGTCTTTTTCAAATTTTCTCACTGGGAATTTTGGGATGCAATGCTTTATTTTAGCCGTATTTGTAAATTGCAGTTTAGAATGTATATTTCTTAGTTTATCTTTTGTCAAATAACAACCAAAGGGGAAATTGTTAGTGTGAATAGATTTGTTAGAACCCCATGTGTAATTGGAATGAATATTATGACAAAATAGGATTAGAGGAGTCAATTGAGTCCATAGGCTTAGATAGAATATTCCACTGTTAAACGCACTGCTTCAAGGGATACTTAGACATTGGGAGTCAAAGTCAAAGATAGAAGCAATTAATGACTCAATAACAAATTGAATGAAGACACCCATTCTGATCAAACAGATAGGATTAAAGGCCTTAGATGAAATTCAAGAAAAGAAGAAACAATTAGCCTAACTGATGAATATAAATAACTGTTATTTTGTTTGTATTAGTATATAGAAAATCTAAGATAAAATATATACAGAAAACACTTTGAGGGAAAACGTTTTGAGAGACATGATTTACAGAGAGGAACACTTATTGAATATCATATGCACCTCTAAATCAAGAGATTGAATACAAAGATCAAAGCTGGAGTATTAAATTCGTATGTGCTGATTTGAAGGTTTGAAGACTGGTGTATCATTTGCACTACTAAAGCTGTTTTTGTTTTACTCTTGTACCCCAATTTTGTGAAAGGTTGTAGTGCAGCGGTAGTGGGTAATGTGTAAGATTTGTTTCTCGTTTAATATAGGTTTAGTCTTCCAAAAGGGGGTTGTAATAGGGGCAGCGTATTCTAAAACATAATTAGTTGTATATATCCAGTGCACTACTGAAGCTGTTTTTGTGAAAGGTTGTAGTGCAGCGGTAGTGGGTAATGTGTAAGATTTGTTTCTCAGTTGATGCCATTTTTTGATGTGTGCAGTACTGCCGGTTTAGTGTTTGAAAACATAGGTAGGAGTCAGTTCGGGGACTCAATATGACTTAAAAAATCTGGGTTTACTTTTTTGCTGCATGTATACCATTCTTTAACTGTGGTAGTTGTGTAGGTATTGCGGACGTATAAAATGGTTTATGCCCTTCTCTACTTACCTTAAGTTGGTATCATTGTTATTAATAATGTGTTTGGTGTACTTGCAGATCACGTGCCTTAGTGTGTACCTGGATTCCAAGATGCAGGGTCTTCGCGCTACACGCCTTCAAATGATGAAACCGAAGAGGATGCAGATGGCGTGGAGGAATACCACGTCATCATTGGACTCTGATGTCTGCAGCTAGGGAATGCCATGCAACTACTGAATTTACGCCAGCGCTACATGCACAATATTTTGCTAAGCATGGTTAATGCCCATACAAACAGTATTGCAACGCGTGTTGCGGTGTTTGAACGTAAAAGATTGGCGCATATGCATCGGTGACCAGCTCCAGGTCTCAGCCGGGAATAAATTTTTGTAGTAATTAGGCCTCAAATCTGGGTTTTTTTTTTAAGTGGTATCAGCAGTTATGGCTTGAATATTTTGGTTAGATTATCTTAGGGGTCTGTGGTCATTGAATACTAACTTTATTATTAAGGATGGGCAGTGCAGTTGGATTGGTTATTCTATTACTCGTTTTATTCAGTTTTCTTCCTTTATTAATCTGATTAGGGGTTTTCGTCCTTTATTAATCTGATTAGCGGTCTTTAAATGCAACTGATTTTAGAGTTATTACCGTTTGGTTCTCATGATAGTCATGCTGCCTTTCCCACTGTTTGTTCGAATTTTAGTCCTCCCCACGACAGGCTTTCCTGGAAAAGCAGATGGGGGATACAAAATTGGTGCGCATGAATTTAAGTAAGCGGGTCTAAGTGCATAATGTAAGTAACTGAGTTTTCTTTACTAACTATTAGAACAATGCACACAGTTCAATCAATTTGTTCAGTCCGAACACCAATAAAATCAAGGGAATTGGTGTGCACTCAGCCTAATCTTATTTACTTTCTTAGTATTAAACCAGTAGGATCCAGGTTACAAGTGCATAATTTAGGGACTCTAGGGATGTAGTTAATAAACTTCAATCTTATTACGTAGTCTACGGTGCACTGTACGTTGTAATGAAAACCACAAATTGACTAGTGCACTCAACCTAATTTTATTTAACAGTAGGCCTTGTCTGAATATAAGGCTTATTTGATTTTTTAACGCATAGTATTATTCGATCTGTGTTTGTGTTTCTATGTGCAATCTCAAAGTCTTGTGTGAATACCAGGCTTAATCCATTTTTAAAGAGCACTTAGAGGATGCATTTTGATTACCTATATAAAAACAGTGCACCCAGTAAAAAAAGGGGATAAATAATCTGATGTTATTAAAATGGGGTTAACGAATTATAAAGTAAGTAAATTGAATCGGATATATGTGGGAATAAAAAAAAAAGTCAGTTTAGGATGAGATGTCAGCACCGTAATGGATGTAAGAAATAGGCTGTATATGCGCAGTTGTATTCCTTTTCAAATACGGTGGAGGGGAAGTTGCGTGATAGAGCAATGTATCCCATGGTGCGTGGTGTACTGTACAGGCGTGCACTTACAACTATGAGCCCTACGATCTAATATATCAATGCTCCGTAGTGGTTCACTAGTTCGCACGTTAATAATGGTTCGCACCAGAAAAATAGCCTATATATATATATATATATATATATACTACACACAGTGTGTGTGTACAGTGTGTAGTATATATATTGTGTGTACAGTGTACAGTGTGTGTATATATATATATAGTGTGTGTGTGTGTGTAGTGTGTGTATATATATATATATATAGTGCGTGTAGTGTATATATATATATATATATATATATATATATATATATATATATATATAGTTATGAACCTACTCTATTTGTAATAAAAAATTTGTTTAGTGATTTAGCCCGTTGGATTAACCAACAACCCGTTGTTTAGGGTTAGGTCCAACCCAACTCAAAAAGAAAAAATAAAAAACCATTTTAGTCCAAGCCAACAAGTCCACCAACCCTGTAGGGCTAGTCCAAAACCCAACGGGTTGGCCCCTTTGACATCCCTAGGTACCCCCATCACTTCTGGTCTTACCTACTAATGTCCATTTAGCTGATGAATCCTTGGCACACCTGATGTCAAGGGCTAATCCCATTCCACCTAGTAATAACTCCATTACCATACTGCCAGCCCAAAATGAACCCTCAGATAATAACTTCATTGCCATACTGCCAGCCCAAAATGAACCCTCAGATCATGACTCCATTGCCATATTGCCAACCCAGAATGAACCCTCACAGCAACAACAAGTAAGAAGATCCACTAGGCATGTGATCAGACCAGCCTATCTCCTGGACTATGATTGTCAACTACCTAACAAAAGAACATCTCCTCATATTTTGTCTGCTGTTCTATCCTATGACAAATTGTCACCCAATTTCAAAGCATTTGCCCTAAATATATTGAATATAACAGAACCAAAATCCTACAATGAAGCCATTCTACATGACTGCTGGAAATTAGCTATGCAGGCTGAAATAGATGCCCTCCAAGCCAACAAAACCTGGGAACTAACAACCCTTCCACCCTCCAAACAAGCAATAGGCTGTAGATGGGTATACAAGGTCAAACATAAGTCAGATGGGACTGTGGAAAGGTGTAAGGCTAGGTTGGTAGCAAAAGGATACACTCAAACATGTGGACTGGACTATATTGATACCTTTAGTCCAGTAGCTAAGATTACATCCATAAGGGCTCTAATTGTTGTGGCAGCTGCAAAGGGTTGGCAATTACACCAATTGGATGTAAATAATGCATTCCTCCATGGTGATCTACATGAGGAGGTATATATGCATCTCCCTCCAGGTTTTGATGTTCAGTATCCTAGGCAAGTATGCAGACTGACTAAGTCCCTTTATGGCCTAAAACAAGCTAGTAGGCAATGGAACTCTAGGCTCACAAGTGAGCTGATCACTCTAGGTTTTAAACAAGCTGTTTGTGATAATTCTCTGTTCACAAAGGGGTCAGGTAACAGCTTTGTGGCATTATTGGTATATGTTGATGATGTCATACTGGCAAGCAGTGACAAAGATCAAATTCAACAAATAAAAGACCATCTCCATTCTACTTTTCAGATCAAGGATCTAGGCAATCTAAGGTTCTTCCTTGGACTTGAAGTTGCTAGAACTCAGAAAGGGATTGCTGTTAATCAAAGAAAGTATGCCCTGGACCTTCTTAAAGAAACAGGCTTTCTGAGTAGTAAACTTGTGAGAACCCTATGATACAAACAGCAAAGTTGAGCCAAGACAGTGGGGCACCATTAGAAGATAACTCTCAGTATAGAAGGTTGATTGGGAAATTATTATACCTGACCATAACAAGACCAGATATATGCTTTGCAGTTCAACAACTATCCCAATTCCTAGACAAGCCTACTACTGATCATCTCCAAGCAGCTCACAGAATTTTGAGATATGTGAAAAATTCCCCAGGCCAAGGCTTATTCTTTCCAGCAAACTCAAGTCTCAAATTGAGAGGATTTGCAGACTCAGACTGGGCTGCCTGCATTGATACTAGAAGATCAGTAACAGGGTTTTGTATGTTCCTAGGAGAGGCTTTAATCTCCTGGAAATCCAAGAAACAAGGAACAATATCCAGATCATCTTCAGAAGCAGAATACAGGGCCATGGCTCTTGCTGCCTGTGAGATCCAATGGTTGATCTATCTTCTTGAAACATTGGAAGTAAAAATGGAGGGGCCTGCTGTGTTATACTCTGACAGTAAATCAGCAATAGCCATTGCTGAAAACCCAGTGTTTCACGAACGAACAAAGCATATAGAGATTGATTGTCATCTTATAAGGGAGAAACTACAAAAAGGCATCATCAGGTTATTGCATATTTCCACTGACAACCAGACTGCTGACATCCTAACCAAGCCATTGCAACCTCTGTCATTTCAAAAACTTGTTTCCAAACTGGGGCTTCATTCCATGTACAATCCAGCTTGCGGGGTATTAGAGGACAAGCCTACTACTGGTCAAGGATAGTCAACAGCCGTTAGGAAGTTAGAGGCAGTTATTTTCTGTTAAGATGGTTTACTGCCTAAACTGCCTTTCTTCTTCTTTCTCATATAAATGGTGTATGACTTAGAAGGTGAAGTTGTGATAACAGAAATCAATGAAACAGTATCTTTCTTTTCTTCCTTTGATCCATCTTACAATTCATGATAGTAGATTCAAAAATCTGGGAATAATACCTTAAGACTTCCACGTTGAGATCCGCACCTTCCTTCCAAGTCCCGGTGGGATCTTTTATGCGGGAAAGATGATTGGCACGTTTCCGAGCTGTGGCTGTTCTGTGAAAAAATTTGGTATTATTATCACCATGTTTGAGCCATAAGTGTTTTGATCTTTGACGCCAAAAAACTTCTTCCTGAAATTGTAGCGCTAACAGTTCAGACTCCAGTGATTTATACTCATCAACAGCCGCTGGCAGTCGACTATCTCTCAGGGATACTAACCTGCTACGTAAGTATTGCATGCGGCGCCCAAACTTTTTATAAAGATCACCGCCCCAATGCCATAAGTTCTGACCACAGAGCATAATCCTCTCCTGAAACTCGCACCCAACAGTCTGACTCCAAGCACGTTCAATCACCTGGCGACAACCATCGTCATGAAGCCATGAAGATTCAAATCTAAACTTACGACCTTGAGTACGCCTCGGATAGCCATCCACATCAACAAAAATGGCAGAGTGATCTGAAGATAGGGTGAAAATATTGTGAACAATCACCTCGGAATATAAATCAGTCCACTCTGTGGTAGCGACGGCGCTGTCTAGTCTTTCTTCCACCCAGGCATCCGTTCCACGTCCCCTCTCCCATGTAAAACGGCTACCCACCATGCCCAAATCCATAAGGTTACAGTCTTGCAGTGTTTCGTTAAAGCCATATAATAAAGAGTTAGGGTGAGGGTGAGGACCCCTCTTTTCCGAATGACAGGCTAAATCATTGAAGTCGCCAAGTATAACCCAAGGCAAACTCGACTGCTCCTTAAGGTGACGAAGTAGGTCCCAAGATTGTTGACGTTTGGTTCTCTCCGGGTGACCGTAATAACAAGTTAGTCGCCACTGCGGTTTGTCGGGCAGTGTAATTAACATATCAATGTGATTTTGTGAGTAGCTCAACATTGTAGCCGATTCTCTATCCCTCCAAAATAGCGCCAACCCACCTCCCAATCCAACTCTTTCAACACAAAACAGACCTTCAAACCCCATTTTCATCCTCATCAATTCCACACGATCCAATCTGGCTTTCGTTTCCATTAAGTAAACAAACATGGGTCGTTGTTTGGACACAATGTCCAAAAGCTTGCGAACTGTTCGGGGACTACCCAACCCCCTACAGTTCCAACTAAGAATACTCATTGAGAAGGGCGGGACTGGGAATCGCCATAAGCAAGTTTTTTGACAGGTCATTTTCCACCTCCATGGACTCTTCAGTGGTGACATCGACAGTTCCCTCCATACGACGTCGCTTCTGATCAGTAACTGTGATACCATCCTCTATGCACGTGGTAACAGTGGGAATTAATGCCAAATCAATTCTTTCCTTATGCATGCTAATCATACCATGATCCATGCCTTTGACTGAACCAGGAATGGTAAGGGAATTTTCAACGCGTACTGATTGATTCTTTCCTTCTGTGGGGGTCGCCGCCGCGTGCCATGCACTCCGCTCCACCGACGTCTCCGGAGCGATCCATTGCATGCCCGGCGAAGCAGTGTTCCTTCTTCCACCAGCGCGTAAGCTAGGGCCGTAAGGCTTCTCTTGTTTTGGATCCCAAATTCGAAGCTTTACCTTTGGACAGAATCTATATATCCCCATGGCCGACCATCCCACACACAAAGCAGAAGGTTGGCAAGCGCTCGTAGCGAAAATCAATTGCTACCCACGCTCCATCATCCTTCCTAAGTTTCATGCCTTTCTTAAGAGGTATGTTCACATTAATATCAACACGGATACGAAAGAAAGTACGTAAACTCCCATCAAAGTTATGCTCATCAGAGATTACCAGCCTTCCGATGAAACCGCCGATGGCTTCCAACACCGCCTCCGATCGAAGCCCCGCCGGCAAACCATGAACCTGGATCCAGAAGGGGACCTCATCCAAAGCAACTCTATTGGGATCTTCCGCCGGAGTGATTCGTTTCAAAACCAATAAATTTTGTTCAAACGCCCATGGTCCATTGTCGATTATGTGATCGACATCACCCTCGTGATAAAAACGAAACAAGTAGCGTTGGCCTTCCAGGTCTCGTACGTTCATACCCATTGCTGGTTTCCATACCGCCGCCATCGTGTCCCTGAAATAAAAAAAACTTAACCGGCTTCCCGGTGACAAGCCGACCTACGGCCAAAAATTCTTGGTCGTTCACTGTAGGTCCCAACGAAATATTTGCGATCTGCTGCACAACATCATCTTCCTCTAGATCAGCCATGGAAAGATGAGTGAAAGAAGAAGAAGCCTGAGGACCCGCCATGATCGAGCATCCACAGGAGACGAGAGTCAACAAAGAAGAAACTCACACTTGGAGAAGAAGAAGCTCGCGAAGGTGGCGAGAGAGAAGTATTTTATCACAGTTTTATGAATTCATACTTTATTATTATCGTATTCCTTTATCATAAAATTACAAATTTTTTCCTTCCATAATTCCTCATTGCAACCAAACGACCTATTCCAGTGTATTCGTTATTTAATGGAAAATTATTATGTGCACTTGAGTCCACCTTGCAACGTGGAACCAGGGTACAAAATTCACAATTTATATACTAAATGTTCATAATTTTTATTTTTATATATTAAATGTTCACAATTTACCTACGGAAGGTTCACAATCTAATATATTAAATGTTCTTCCAAAAGGCTGAACCCCAACCCTAAGGGCCCCCCACACCCAGGCCCGACAGAGCATTTGGGAGGATATAAATCATGGTGACTCAACTGAACATGAACCACAGAGGCTAGACCGGTGCTCACTGCGCACAAGGAGCCCCCCTCACTTTGAGAGGTAAGTTGTAAACATTCAGTATAGGCAAATTATACCGTGCATCAGGGCGCACAATGCATTGTGCGTCCTGACCAAAACACCGTCGTTTTGACCATGTTTTTTTTTAGAAATCCTGTTTTCCATTTCTATTGTTAAATTCAAAAAAAAATTATCTGTTTCGAATGTACATAAACTCATAACAGAAAACACATAAACTCATAACAGAATACGCATAATCTAACATAATACATAATACACATAAACTCATAACAGAATACACATAATCTAACATAATATATAATACATAATACACATAAACTCATAACCATAATCTAATCTAACTCTATAATAAAGCAATAACTTGCTGAAGTTTTCATTTTCCCGCCCACCTAATACTACGCCGTTTTGGCTTAAGTTACTGCTATTACATTTTTCCCGCTCATGCATTGTGATGTGTATTTCCCATGCGTTAATGATAATTCGGCTAATTAATGCTAGATTCTTTACCTTCATTATACCCCTCATGGGAATACCAATGCATATAATTAATGTCAGAGAATTATAATCGTTTCTGACCTTTCAAGACCACAATATAATTCAAATTCGTCCTATAATTTTTCTCCTGCTTATATATATATATATATATATATATATATATATATATATATATATATATATATATATATATATATATATAACCAACCTGTACCAGATAATGATAGAAACATACGCAGAGAAATTATTACAAGCCCCTTGGAATAATACAAACCTAATAGAAAATATTAGGTTAATTTAAAAATTCAAATGAATTAAATGAACATTAACATTTAATGAATAGTTGGTTTTCCAATGTTGTGGCTGCTCACTAAAACTCTTCGATTCTTGTGATTTAAATATCTCATTTGTGCCTATAAAAGGCACAAATCAGAGATGTATTTCATCCTAGATTGAAACTGTTCTTGCCATCACCATTAACCATCTTCAAAAGAGTTCTAAAGATGCCTTCCCTTTTTATTGTTGTAAAAGATATCCAACCTATACACAAACTGAGAGGTATTAGAGTACGTTGTGTAAGGGTGTATGTAGTGCCTGAAAGTAGGGGATGAGGGAATACCATCAAGAGTATGGAGTGTTTGCTCCATGATGATCAGGTAATACATTTTTTTTTACTGCATTTGTAACAGAGACATGTTTACATCCTTAGTTCTTCATTCTGCAGAACAGAGTCAAAACATACCAGTAACATTAGAAAAAATGATAAAGTCATGGGACTGATTATTGCTTTATTTCTTTCTTATTTGCAGGGAGATTATATACATGCCTATATTCAGAACACAAATGTTAGAAAATACAAAGAAGTTATAAAAGAAGGACAACTCTATGAGATAAAAAAAAATTATGCTGTTACAAATTATTACATGTACAAGATCACACAACACAAATATATGCTTAAGTTCAATTATAAAACAGAAGTCAAACTGATAAATTCTAAAGGGTTTCCCCTGCATATGTTTCGGTTGACCAGTTTTGTTTCCACATACATACTTAAATTTTGCAGGGTAAGTAAACTACTTCAATACTGTAAAATCTTCCTTTTGTGAAGGTTAAAAGTTGAAGAAACCCCTCTAAAAAGTTTCAGCACTGGCACTCTACACTCACAGTCAACAGGGATTGACAACGGTTAAAAAACCGTTGTTGTTTCTAGAAAAGACAACGGTTAAAAACCGTTGTCTATGCGCGGGACATACAACAACACCGGCTTCAACAACATAAATTTAACCCCTCCGACAACGGTTATTAACCGTGGTCTATGTGCATTTTTCTTGTAGTGATAATTAGTACTCTATTTTACTTTTATTAAATTAAATAATGATTTAGTAGCTACAACAAAATTTAATACATATGCATTTCTTTAGTTTAGAATTATGTGTCTACAATGTCTTTATTCAGAAAAAATTATTCATTATCAATAAATTAAATAAGAGAAATAATTTCA